TCTATCTATCTATCTATCTATCTATCTATCTATCTATCTATCTATCTATCTATCTCTATATATATATCCCCTTCCTCCCTCCCTCTCCCATACTCTTCTTCCCCTCAGAAACCAACAAACTTGCAAACAAATCAAAAACGGTTACGACCAGAATCTCAGCACCGTGCCGCCGTACTCACCACATGAACCGATAACCATATCCCCGTACAACATCCTTATCTTTAAAAAAAAAAAAATGAAAACGAGACGTCTTTTGAAGAGATGATATTATGCGAGTATGCTGAGATGTCTAAAACACATTGAGATCCAGCGAGCGCGGCATCTTTCTTCTCAATCTGTGTCAAGGGTAGAGAACCTAAAGCAACTCACAAGAACCCGAGATAGGAAGGAAACATAATAACAATGTAGGTATCTGGCAACTTCTCAAACGGGGCGAAGGAGACCGAGAATTCTTTCTCCCTATCGGCAATTCGCATCCTTGACTACAATTTTTATGTATTTCACTAGAAATATGTGAGACATCGTGGTGAAATCAGGCGCTCGTCCAAATTATAATGAACCAGAAGAAACTGATTTTTTTCCCACTCGTTACTGTATTTCAACCGATCTCTACCAAAAATTTCTCTCCTTCTTTTGGCCCGCGAGATAATAATCGGAATTACCCTCAGTATTAGTACCGGTACCGGGTTGACTACCTCAGTTTTCTGAGCATTTTTAAAACTTAAATACATTGGTTTATGGGGTTTTTTAAAAACTGGTTTGTTCCTAAATGGTAAAAGTTGTCACAGTTACTTTTTACTTTTATCAGCCGCTTATACCCTTTTGGGTGTCGCGGGAAGAAAGAGACGTCTCTCTGTCGCCAGCCGGAGAGCTTTGGTCAGGGGGATGCCGTGGGTGGTTAATGTTTCCCTGACTTCATCTATCCAGATCTTTCTCGGTCGTCCTCTAGCCTTGTTGCAATCGAATTTTTGGATGTAGACACGTTGTGCTGGATGGTGTGTTGGTAATCGTAGGAGCTGTCCGAACCATTTGATTCTTTGGTGTTGGATGTGATGCATGACATCATTTGTGCCCACGATTTCTCGGATTACTGAGTTTCTAATTTTGTCTCGCCTGGTCTTGTTTACTGCTTTCCTAAGGCATTGCATTTCACATGTTGTAATTCTTTTTCTAATGTCTTGTTCGTGGTCCATGCTTGGCATTAATAAATGAGTCCTGTGATGAATATAGTGCTGGTCATTTTGAGTTTTCTTGTAATGGGAATGATAGGATGTTTCAATAGTGGAGTAAGCTGGTAACTAACATTATTGGCCTTTTGTACTCGTGTTTCAATTTCTCTGTTCAGTCGCCCATCCACTGTGAATATATTTCCGAGGTACTTAAATTTTTGGACCTGTCTGAGACTGTTGTTGTTGATGTGTATCCTGAGTGGTTCTGGCTTTCTACTTACTTTCATTGTGTCTGTTTTGTTGATGTTGATCTTCATGTCGTAGTTGTTACATTCTTCGTTTAATCTGGTGGTGAGGTGTTGGAGACTTCGTTCATCTTTGTGTGCCAGGCTTTGGTCATCAGCGAAGAGTAATTCATTTAGGGCATCTGGTTCTGTGTTGGCCTCTTTTGTAATTCTATCCATATATATGATAAATAGTAGTGGTGATAGGACACAACCTTGTCTTACTCCAGATGTTATCTCGAGCCATTATGTGAGTCCCTCTGACGTTCTTACTGTACCTACGCTGTTCTCATAAATGGCACGGATGTGATCTAGAAGTTGGCCTCTTACAATGTAGTTTTCGAGTTTTTCCCACAGCTTGTCACAGTAACTTACTAAAATTAAAATCACTAACATTTCATGATCTCTTGTTCTTTTATTCACTGAAGGAGAAATAAAATAGATTTGTTCCAACTTGTACAGGTGTACGAGGTTAAATGTTCCCCCCTTCCCCCTTTTATTCCACCCCACCCCCCACTTATTCATTTTGGACCACTTGC